CTCGGGGCTGGGAGAGGGAAAATTGCTTCAATAGCTCCTCCTCTCTCTCTCCATCTTTCTCTCTCGCTTTTATTTTGGTTGTAAATAGGTCTTTCCGGAGCCAAAGAAGCTGGGGCTTGACTGCCCTAAAGTAATCTTTAAACCTTAAAACAAAATATCCCCTGAAGTCTTCTTAAAAACCAAACAATAGTTTAGCTCAATTAGTATAGCATGTCTACCTTGGGAATTTTGCTCTGTTAAGATTGGTCTCTCCTTAAGGAAGGAACCCCGCTTGTGTAGTGACCAGCTGGGGTGCTAACTGCAAGGTCAATGGTTAGAAACCACAGTGCTTACATTCCAGTAAAGAATTACAGTCTCAGGAACCCTAGGATGAGTAGGCATTGCCTTGATTGCTGTGAGTTATGGTTTTTTTTTTGTTTGTTTGTTTTGATCCACAGGGATTCGGCTACTAGGAAGATTAGGAACCTCAGAGGGCAGTGAATGTATGTCAATTTGAGAGTGAGAATATCCATACAACCCAAAGAATGTAATTAATGTCACTGAATTACCCAAGTAAAAACTTGAATTGATGTGTTTTTGCTGTGCCTATTCTCAACAGCTACAATCAATTATTAGATTAGTGAGAAAGTTTGCAAACTGGAGAGCCTTCATCCATCCATCTAACCCGAGAGGTTCGTTGTAGTACTTCACGTGGTCCTTTACAACCAGAGGCAAGACACCCACTTAGTGGATTATGAAGTGGATGGGACCAATAAAGTGATACCCGAACTTTCACGACATTGTGAGGAGCCCTGGTGAGCTCCTGCGAAGTAGGGGAGATCTCTGTGCTCCTAACAAGTAGCCGGTTTACAGTAATTGTTGATGGCTATCCCTGGTGGTTTTCTCCCTGAAACCTTTGTAAGATTCTTCATAGTTAAATTTTGAAACAAATATGTTTAGTGAACTAGCTGATTTCAAAGGGTTGCACGTTGACAGCTATCTCCTAGTCCCCATTGACAGACCTGAACTCATACCTCTTGCCTTTTCTATGTTGTACTTTGAGACCTCCAAAGGATATAATTTTCATAACAAAATAAACCCACCCACCCCCACATACATCAGTGGCAGCATATACTGGGGGAGGGGGGCGCAGGGGAAACTAAAATAAAGTTATTTAAATGAGGAAAATATCCAATTAATTAACAACACTTGCCCGGCTATCAAAAAGTATAGCGTCTGGGGTCTTAAAGGCTTGAAGGTAATCAAGCGGCCATCAAGCTCAGAAGCAACAAAGCCCACATGGAAGAAGCACACCAGCCTATGCGATCATGAGGTGTCAGGTATAAGGGATCAGGTAGAAGGCATCATCAGAACAAAAATCTTACCATAGTGAATGATGGGAGGAGTGCGGAGTGGAGACCCAAAGCCCATTAGTAGGCCACTAGAGATCCCCTTGTAGAGGGGTCTCGGGGAGGAGACGAACCAGTCAGGGTGTGATGTAGCAACAATGAAAAATACAACTGTCCTCTAGTTCCTAAATGCTTCCTCCCCGCCCCCACTATCATGATACGAATCCTACCTTGCAAGTCTGGCTAGACCAGAGGATGTACACTGGTACAGATAGGAACTGGAAATCCAGGGAATCCAGGGCGGATGATCCCTACAGGACCAGTGGTGTGAGTGGTGATACTGGGAGGGTAGAGGGAGAGTGGGTTGGAAAGAGGGAACCGATTACAAGGAACTATATGTGACCTCCTCCCTGGGGGACGGACAACAGAAAAATGGGTGAAGGGAGATGTTGGACAGGGCAAGATATGACAAAACAATGATTTTTAAATTATCCATGGCTCACGAGGGAGGGGGGAGCAGGGAGGAAGGGGAAAATTGAGGACCTAATGCTGGGGGCTTAAATGGAGAGGAAATGTTTTGAGGATGATGAGGGCAGTGAATATACAAATGCGCTTTACACAATTGATGTATGTATGGATTGTGATAAGAATTGTATGAGCCCCTAATAAAATGATTTTTTAAAAAAAGAAGAAAAAATAACACTCCTCCAGCATAGCTTAAAAAACACTTCCCTAAGGAATCCTGGTGACATAGTGATTACTTATTACTCTCCGTAAGGTCAGCAGTTTGAAACCACCAGCCATTCCACGGGAGTAAGAGGGGGCTTTCTACTCCTGTAAAGAGTTATAGTCTCAGAAACTCACTGGGGCAATTCTACCCTGT